TTATGCGCTCAACCCGCCAGCATTTAGAACTCGCTCACTTTCTCCAAGGCAACTACAGTGCATCTGGAAAGTATTCACAGCGCTTCACTTTTTCCACATTTTGTTATGTTTCAGCCTTATTCCAAAATTGATTAAATTCATTATTTTTCTCAACATTCTACACACAACAACCCATAATTACAAAGTGAAAACTGTTTTTTGCCAATTTTTGCAAATCTGTTAAAAACAAAGAACGAAGACATAACATGTATATAAGTATTCACAGCCTTTGCCATGACACTCAAAATTTAGCTGAGGTGCCTCCTGTTTCCACTGATCATCCTTCAGATGTTTCTACAACTTGATTGGAGTCCACCTGTGCTAAATTCAGTTGATTGGACATGATTGAGAAAGGCACACACCTGTCGATATAAGGTAACACAGTTGACAGTGCATATCAGAGCATAAAGCAAGCCAAGAAGTCCAAGGAATTATCTGTAGACCTCAGAGACAGAATTGTATCGAGGCACAGATCTGGCGAAGGGTAGAGAAAGATTTCTGCAGCATTGAAAGTCCCAATGAGCAAAGTGGCCTCCATCATCCGGAAATAGAAGAAGTTTGGAACTGTTAGGGATTTAAGCCAGAAGTGCACCCCTAGTAGTGGAAATTATAATACATGTAATAATGTTAAGTGTTAGAATTATAGTTTGTGTGTTATTAGATATTAGTTATTACATTAACATGTTAGATGAAGTGAATGCAATTTCAATCAAACACAATGTATAGTCATTTAAATCATATAAACACTGTACACATTAACATTCTGTCACCATGTGATGTTAAAACCTGGGGACGGATGCCAATTGCCGTCCTTTATGGATTTCTCCCAATTTTATCCCCCAAAGAGGGTTTTTGGGAGTTTTTTCTCCTGTCAGGTAGTAAATGAACATCTTAATGTGAGGCAGCCGACTGGGGCAAATGTCTTGAGAATTGCACCACATGAACTGTTTTAGATCTTATGATGAAGTGTGATGAACGGTGATCATTAATGATGTGTTGTAATTAAGGTGTACTAGTTATAAGATGAAGACAAACAATGTATACTTTGTTATATTCACTCATTGAGGCATAAAGCTAAACATATCTACATTGAATGCATTGGAATGTGAGGGACAGATGGTACAGAGAGGTTTCAGGTTACAGCTGCAGCTTCACACCTCGACGTGAAGGGGACAGTCCTGGAGGAGACACTTTGAAGAAGAAGCCAATGACATTCAAATGCACCAAAGAAGACACACCTCAAGAGTTTTCAAAGGACCAAAGCGGAGAAAAGACTGTTAGAATTCTCCTGCAGCCGCTTTGATAAGTCACTTTAGACTTGCTCAGAGGATTCTCTATTTCGCGAAATATTTTACTGTTCGCTTAGTATTTCACTTTGTAATTGCATTCCTTATAACGTTGTTTAGTTATTAAATACTTTTTGATTTTTGAATTTAAGCAAGCTGACTGTTCAAAGCTTGAATTTAAGCAAGCTGACAAATCAGGCCTGTTTGGGAGAGTGGCCAGGCGGAAGCCACTCCTCAGTAAAAAGCACATGACAGCCCGCCTGAAGGACTCTCAGACCATGAGAAACAAAATTCTCTGGTCTGATGAAACAAAGATTGAACTCTTTAGCCTGAATGCCAAGCGTCATGTCTGGAGGAAACCAGGCACTGCTCATCACCTGGCCAATACCATCCCTACAGTGAAGCATGGTGGTGGCAGCATCATGCTGTGGGGATGTTTTTCAGCGGGAGGAACTGGGAGACTAGTCAGGATTGAGGGGAAAGATGAATGCAGCAATGTACAGAGACATCCTCGATGAAAACATGCTCCAAAGCGCTCTGGACCTCAGACTGGGGCGACGGTTCATCTTCCAACAGGACAACGACCCGAAGCACACAGCCCATTGAACGTCTCTGGAGAGATCTGAAAATGGCCGTGCACCGACGCTCCCCATCCAACCTGATGGAACTTGAGAGGTTCTGCAAAGAGGAATGGGAGAAACTGCCCAGAAATAGGTGTGCCACGCTTGTGGAATCACACCCAAGAAGACTTGAGGCTGTAATTGCTGCCAAAGGTGCTTCAACAAAGTATTGAGCAAAGGCTGTGAATACTAATGCACATGTTATGTTTTCGTTCTTTTATTTTTAACAGATTTGCAAAAATGTGCAAAAAACAGTTTTCACTTTGTCATTATGGGTTGTTGTGTGTAGAATGTTAATGAATTTAATCTATTTTGGAATAACGCTGAAACATAACAATGTGGAGAAAGTGAAGCGCTGTGAATACTTTCCGGATGCACTGTATGTTGAAAAGAAATCCAACTATATTTCTTCCAATGTCCATCACTTTTGAACAGCACACCTGTGTCGATTTAGGCTTTTTTTTTAAACAAAGGATAACATATGGGCTACATGATGGAAACAATATTTTTATCATAAAGAAATGTTTTGGGGAACTGTAAGAAAAATTGAGTTGAATCAAATCAGAGTAAAAAGAGCAAGGGACAAATGAGTCACAAAATGATCACCAAACGATTGGCAGGAAAGATTTTCAGTTTGGACACATTTCTTAACCGTGCTGCTTGTTCTCTGGCTGTACAAAATTATCAGTCACAGCTTGCAGAAACAGCCAAAACTCCTCATGATTACCTTTCCATTAAGAAATAATGAATGGACCAACTACCGTCCTGCTTCGTGCATTTGTTGAGGGCAACCCGCTGGCATTTCCTCTCATAATGTGTCTTTGCCGTGTCCATCTTCAGAGGCAGCTCTACTGTGCTTCTCTTTCTCTGTGTAGTGAACCTCTTCCACTTCCTGTCCCCAAACAGTTCATCATTAATTCAGGGAAATGGGACACAGGTAGACCTGCATGAACTCAACAGGGTAACAGAGGGTATAAATGAAATAAATGTATCTTTCCTAACAAATATCTGGACTGAAGCGGGTTTGGCCGTTCAGACAGGACAGAATGATTGAGTAGACCAAAGGTCTATTAAGGACACGGCTGTGCTGAATCTGGGAAATAGAATCTCCTCCAGAACTTGTTAATAACGGTCGCGAGAAAACCGAGGCGCTCTCTCCTGGTGTTAGCAATATTTTATGGATATTTCGTGGATTCATTTCAGAAATTTTAACTTTGAATGGAAGTGTATTTCTGACCTCTGTAGTCATGAAGTCTTTTGAACGGCTAGTCCTGACCCACCTGAAGTCCCTCACCGACCCCCTCCTGGACCCCCTGCAGTTCGCCTACAGAGCCAACAGGTCTGTGGACGATGCTGTCAACATGGCCCTCCACTACATCCTCCAGCATCTGGACTCCCCAGGAACCTACGCCAGGATCCTGTTTGTGGACTTCAGCTCTGCTTTCAACACCATCATCCCGTCTCTGCTGCAGGACAAACTCTCCCAGCTGCACGTGCCCGACTCCACCTGCAAGTGGATCACAGACTTCCTGTCTGACAGGAAGCAGCACGTGAAGCTGGGGAAACATGTCTCAGCCTCTCGGACCATCAGCACCGGTTCCCACCAAGGCTGCGTTCTTTCCCCTCTGCTCTTTTCCCTGTACACCAACAGCTGCACCTCCAGTCACCAGTCCGTTAAGCTCCTGAAGTTTGCGGATGACACCACCCTCATTGGACTAATCTCTGGTGGGGACGAGTCCGCCTACAGGTGGAGTCTGACCATCTGGTGTCGTGGTGCAGTCAGAACAACCTGGAGCTCAACGCTCTAAAGACAGTGGAGATGGTTGTGGATTTCCGGCGCAACAGAGCCCCACCCTCCCCCATCACCCTGTGGGACTCCCCCGTCACTATTGTGGATTCCTTCCGTTTCCTGGGCTCCATCATCACCCAGGACCTCAAGTGGGAGCTGAACATCAGCTCCATCACCAAGAAGGCTCAGCAGAGGTTGTTCTTCCTGAGGCAGCTGAAGAAATTCAACCTGCCAAAGACGATGATGGTCCACTTCTACACGGCCATCATGGAGTCCATCCTCTGCTCCTCCATCACCGTCTGGTACGCTGCAGCCACAGCCAAGGACAAGGGCAGGCTGCAGCGTGTCCTCCGCTCTGCAGAGAGGGTGATCGGCTGCAATCTGCCGTCCCTGCAGGACTTGTTTGCTTCCAGGTCTCTGAAGCAGCTAAAAAGATCGTAGCCGACCCCTCTCTCCCCGGACAAAACCTGTTTGTGCCCCTTCCATCTGGCAGGAGGCTGAGGTCCATCAGGACTAAGACCTCCCGCCACACAAACAGTTTCTTCCCGTCGGCAGTCGGGCTCATCAACAGAGCCGGTCCCCCACTGACTGACTATAACATTCCACCGGTCACTCCCCCTCATACTGCACATGCCACTTTAACTGTCATTTATCACTTTGTCGTCACTCGTCACTTTGTCACTTGTCTGTTACTTGTTCGTTAGTGCACTTTATGCTTAATATTTTTCTTTTTAACTTTTTAATATTTAAAATGTGTAACTTTATTCCCTTGTTTTATACTAACCCATAGCCTTATTCTACTAACCCATTGCATTAGCATTTCATTCTACTTTATTTTATTACTTGTGAACTGTTGTCTTGTCTGTCTACTGTCGCGCACTAACTGCCAAGACAAATTCCTTGTATGTTTGGCATATTTTGGCAAATAAATGTTTCCTGATTCCTGATTCCTGATTCCTGATTCCTGATCATCCTCCTATCGAGCACAATTGACATATCATTTGTATACTCAAGACATTTTTTTAAAAAACTATCATCATATAGATTAATCTTGGATGGCTTTCAGTCATATTTGAGCCATCGCTGCTACCCTTTGAATACATTCTCCAACTGTGCTTGTCTAATGTGGTGGATTTTCACACAGCAGCAGCTGCCTACAATCACCTAATTGCAATCAGTGTGAGTAGAATCCCATAAAGGTCTTGGCATCCTTCTGTGCACTTTTTCATTCCTTCCTCCCACACCTCCAGGGGGAAAAGGACATGACTCATTGTTATCTGTGCGTCTGATTTCAACAGCCGGTTCTTTCTTTTGCTGCTGGACGTTTGTGCTGAGGTTGAACTCACTGCCATGGCGTCTCCATTTTGGTAAATACATTAATGTCTTTTTTTTTTAGAGATTTTTTGCTCGCCGCTTATTGGTCTGACTGTATTGTTTTCAGGCTTTCGTGGATTTCCAATCTGTTGTTTTGGGGCAGTATTTGTTTTCCTTCTCAAAAAGGTAAGACTTTCTATATTATCCCTGACCTTATTCAAACGCAAATCAATATGTCTGTTTATTCCCCGTTAGGTTGCAATATTGCACATGGCTACTATCTCAATGAGGATGAATTTAGTAGCCGTGTAGGAGGGCTTGATCCACAAACGTCAAACCAGTTTCATTCCTTTTCTTTGAAGCCAAACCATGACACTGCTAGTTTAAGGGATGAGATGCAAGCTATGAGAAACCAACGCTATGTTTTCCGTCAGAGAGAACCATTCCACCATGAAAACTATAAGGATGCCACCGTTTCTACTGGTCTTGGTGAAGAGATGACAAACGGCAAACCAGAGTAGACCAGGATGTCCCCTCCTCTCCCCCTGTACCGAAACATGTGCATGAAGGTCCTGATCAACAACACCCCTTAGGCATATCAGTGAGCGAGCACAGACAAGCAAAAAATATGGCAGGCCCCAGTTTCTCATCCATCAAAGATTTCAAACAGTTTGTGGAATTGATGAAGCGCGCTTTCTTAATGCCAGGAGATGACCTAGAAAGACATTTTCAAACCGCTAGGGAAACCATTAAAAGGAGATGGCTTCTAATGAACAAACGGTGAATATGAAGAGGCAGCGCGACACGGGCCATAGGTTTTCATCTGCAAATGAAGGCACCGCCCATGACGACACCCGTGGAAATGAAGACCGGAGTACGGCGCTTGAACACGGTGCAAACTACCAAATGCCAAGTGAAAGCCTCTCTGTCTGTGATGCTATCGACCTCGCTGCAAATCTCGCGCCTACCAGCTTCTACGACAAACGAGGCCAAGGGCCAGGCTCTGCCGTCTACCCTCGTAATCATTCAGCAGCCACAGGGCCCGTGGTCACATTTCTAGGGGAAACCCCAATATTGTCACAAGTGCTCCTCATGTGAGAAACAAAGCTCCTCAGTCAATAAGCTACAAGCTCCCTGGACAAATACCCTATGGCTCATTAATTGGACATGATTTGTCGCTCAGTGGTCATTTGACTGCGCCCAGTGTCCACTCCCAAAACCGGCCATCTCAAGATTTCAGCCACTATTCAAGTAGGACCTCTGAGAAGAATATCAGGCAAGAACCAAAATCTCCGACTGAAGACTCTACAAAGGAAACTCAAAAACCATCTCGTGGTTTAGAACTTGCTAGAGATGTAACAAGCAGGGTGACTTCAGACCAAATCCTGTCTGCACCGATGCGCACACCTTTGAGTTCCTATCGTCGGGTTCCACGTGTCATGCCGCCGAGGGGTCAACTCTACGTCCCAGATTCTCAACCAGAACATGACAGAAGACCGGCCATATCATCTCAGGGCTATCAATACACTGTTGGCACGCTATCAAATTATATAAACCACATGCCTACCGCCCATCTGCCCCGATCCACGGGTTCGGTGTCGTCCAGCTCTAATAACCCTTCACAGAGTAGCACTCTTTTTGGAGTTTAAACCAGCCGCCCACATGATGCTCAGAATCTGTCCCTCAAGAGAAAGCCAGTCAGATTCTACACAAGGTAAACTGTGCAACCGCCCAGCTCTTATGGCTCAAGTAGACTGATGGTGGTCATCTCAAAGACAAGAGCGCAAGTGTTGGTCATCCTCTCAACCCAACTGCCCAGTCAAAAGATGAGAAACTGAAGCGGCATCTAGTCGCTGCCATTTCACATAGTTAGAAATTTTCAAATTTGTTAACGTTGCTAAACTTTAGAACGTAAGCTATGCCCAGGAACTGGAATCCATAATTCAATCTCACATGAGCATGGTGCAAGAAACTCCCAGCTATACTGTCAGCAACAATCATGTAATCGTCATCTATAAACTCTATGCACCATATCGACTGGATAAATACAAGAACACTAGAACCCACAATGTAAAAGGATTTCAACATTCAAAGGAATCAACTTCAAGAAATAACATGGTATGGAAAACTCTGGTATTTTACTTATGAATTTAACTGTGCTTATGAGTCATTGAAATCAAAATATGTAAACTATCGTTGAATACAGGTGAAGTGGCTGATCGTCGGTCTGCTTGTAAATATGGTACGTATTCACACTGTGATTGTGATGGCTCACACAACTAAATTTTGAATAATTTGTTTTTGTTTTCACAAGAATCTCCTGCTACCTTGAACTAGGAGGAAGATTCTGCAGTTCCATGCAGCTGTAACTAATAAAACCATGAAATATTAGGTTTTTTTTTACCTCTTGATTGTTTGACATAGGACAAGTTCAACTGTATTTCTAGGTTGATTAATGACAATATTTAAGCACTGAAAAGCTATTGACACATGCCTCTCAATTGATTATTTTCAATTCGTCCGGTAAACAAAAACCTTTAAAACATCAATCTTGAGTAAAGCATATAATGCTTGCAGCGCATAAAAAACACAAGTTTGTTCAATTGTTCCTATAACAGCAGTAGGCATTCTCGAACAGACCACAGGACATCTAGAAAGGAATACAGAACAAATCTGTTTTCATTGGAGAAAAACATGAGAATCTGATTTTTGAAGCTACGTAGGCGCTGAACATACTGTCCCGCGGTGTCACCTGGGTCGTAAAAACTCTATGTCATTGCAGAGGTTGTTGAAAGGCACTGTTCTGCATCAGCAAAAAAATGTACCTTAGAGTTTAAACAAGATATAATGTTTTAATGACCGCCACGCATTTAACATTTAACAAATTTAACATTGAACAGAAAAAATGCTCTACAAATATAACAAGACGGTAAACTTGTCATTCTGCATGAATATCAAACAATGAATTAACTCTACCTGTACAGTATTGGACATACTGAATACTGCCTAAGATCTCTACAGGCTCTCATTATAAATGTAACGTTGAATAAATCTTGCGTAGAGTACTTTATAGCTAATATGCACATAAAAGGACATGATCTCTTAATGTGAGGAAATGGACGAGATATAAAATACTTTCACTCTAAGCAGTGACTAAAAAAACTGAGTTATCTGGGCCACAAGTCTCAGAAACTCCGATCTTTGGGACATGACAGATAGGACGCTGTCAATAAGTCCTATATTGTCGAATTATAATATGGCCCAAGTTTTCCATATTCACGAAAAATTAATATTGGGCGAAATAGTGACATTTTCTGCAACAAGAGCGTAATATCGCACAAATCTTCACACACTTCTTCAGTCCGCACGTTGCGCTTAATTGTTTAATATATATTTCAAAAACTTCATGAAATATTTCCCAATGGAACAAACTATTTGCTAATTATACAGCAAAACATTTGTTCGGTAAAGCGGAGCTGCCAGACAGCCAGGGCTGTAGTGGAGGGTAAACGCACGTAAACGGCGTTTACGCACCTCTGGAATTTTGGAAATAGCGTTTACGCACCTATAAATAGCGTTTACGCACCTCAAAGTTCCCTGCGCCTTGTATTCTTCCGTTGGAATAATCCAAAATAAACTTGGTGTAATTTTTAAAACAGCTAAGACTACGTTTCCTATTGTTGAACATATAAACGGCGTAGTCTGAATCATGTTCATCTGCGCTGTATTACGGTCTGTGAGGATCCAATCAGTGCCTTGCGGCTGCAGCAGCGACCAATCAGGATCCAGGAGGCACATACACGCTGTGGATCAGCCCAGTGGTCCCCAACCTTTCTTACCTCACGGACCGGTTTCATGTCAGACAATATTTCGCGGACCGGTCGAGAAGGTCCGACGGGGGGGGGGGGGGGGGGGGGGTAGTAGTCGCGCTCTGTGTTCGCTGGTCGTGCACGGTAAAAGAAAAACGCCTGGTGACGCGTAGATTAGAATACAAGTCAGTTCTCAATGTGAAAAAAAACATGCTGTATAGGCTATTTATGATGACATAGGTAGTACATGAGTGTTCCTTTAACTTATGTTGTCAGTGTAATTGACAGGCTGCTTAACTGGTTAATGTTTGGGTTTCGGAAAGCTCTCGAAGGAGGCCTCACTCCTTTGTTCTCGTCCCGGCCGGAAACGAGGACACGAATGAGTCAATTCGTTTAAATTCAAAAATCAAAAAGTATTTAATAACTAAACAACGTTATAAGGAATGCAATTACAAAGTGAAATACTAAGCGAACAGTAAAATATTTCGCGAAATAGAGAATCCTCTGAGCAAGTCTGAAGCGACTTATCAAAGCGGCTGCAGGAAAATTCTAACAGTCCTTTCCCCGCTTTGGTCCTTTGAAAACTCTTGAGGTGTGTCTTCCTTGGTGCATTTGAATGTCATTGACTTCTTCTTCAGAGTGTCTCCTCCTGGACTGTCCCCTTCACGTCGAGGTGTGAAGCTGCAGCTGTAACCTGAAACCTCTCTGTACCATCTGTCCCTCACATTCCAATGCATTCAATGTAGATATGTTTAGCTTTATGCCTCAATGAGTGAATTTAACAAAGCATACATTGTTTAAGTCTTCATCTTATAACTAGTACACTTTAATTACAACAAGTCATTAATGATCACCGTTCATCACACTTCATCATAAGATCTAAAACAGTTCATGTGGTTCAATTCTCAAGACATTTTCCTCAGTCGGCTGCGTTACATTAAGTTGTTCATTTTATTACCTGACAGGAGAAAAAACTCCCAAAAAACCCTCTTTGGGGATAAAATTGGGAGAAATCCATAAAGGACGGCAATTGGCATCAGTCCCCAGGTTTTAACATCACATTGTGACAGAATGTTAATGTGTACAGTGTTTATATGATTTAAATGACTATGAATTGTGTTTGATTGAAATTGCATTCACTTCATCTAACATGTAAATGTAATAACTATTATCTAACATCACACAAACTATAATTCTAACACTAAACATTATTACACGTACTATAATTTCCTGACTAGGGGTGCACTGGCTTAAATCCCTGACATTAACTCTTAATTCAACATATTTGTTCAGGCAGTGAGAGGACAGGCAATGATGCAGAGAGCACAGGGAGAGAAACACCAGGCCCAATAGAGAGAGAAGCACAGAGGAGCCATGAACCCCAGAACGCCTGTTCTGGGGTTCATGGCTCCTCTGTGCAAGGCAGGACCTGACGTGGAGGACAAGGAGGCCCTCTGTGCACTACTGTGAAAAGGAGACTCCGTATGTAGATAGTTCTTAATCTGCAATTGTGTTGTTGTGTTGTGTTGACATACTTTTCTTCACTGTTTTCTTAAATTTAATAAACTACTAACACATGTATTCATTGTCATTGATTGTATATGACTTTTACTGATAACATAATGCAATATAGCCAGGACAGCCTTACAGAGTCGCAACGCTTTGTGTTGCGTTGCTTCGCATCGCGTCGAGGTCTGTATGATCACAAAATTCAGAGTTTACCCACCTCTAATTTTACCACTACAGCACTGCAGACAGCGTTGCCAGATTGGGCGGATTTCTTTCAAATGACTGGCTTAACGTAATTTGGATCGGGGTTACTCCTGGCTAACTGTACTTTATGGGCACTTTCTTGCACATAAACATCAATCCTATTATCGTGATCCCGTCAAAGCTCTAAAATAATTGCGACGAGGCGATATGTCCGTCGGGCGGATTTTAAACTTTGTCCGTCAAACCTGGCAACACGAGCTGCGTGCAACAACGCAACAGCTCAGCGTTGAGAGCCGCCGCTTTTCTCCACACTTCTCCGGGTTCCACGTCAAAGAACCAGTCAACAGTATGAGTGGGTCTGTTTGTGTTCGTGTGGGGGTCGTCGGCAGCTAGCTGGGGGGGGGGGCGGGTTAGTCAGCTGGCGAGTCTGACGATCCGACTCAACGTTAGCTGACTTTGAGTTTGTAGCTAACTGAGTTTAGCTAACGCGAAGACGCAGCATGGGCGACGGCAGCATCGCTCCCCGGTTCGGCAACGCGAGAGCGTTCCTCGGAATAGTTGCCGGAGCTGGAGCCTCCTACGGGTTATACAAACTCCTCAGCGGCGGAGGCTTCAAGAGGAACAAGAAAAGCGCTGCCAATGAGAGTCCCGGGGTCAGGAGGAGCGAGTCCAGCGAAGCGCCCCTTCCGCCGGGCAGCCTGCTGGCCAGGGTGTCTGGACTGGACGTCGTCGCTCCCCGACCTGTGGATGCTGCATCGGGTAATGAAGCCGTGAAGCTCGCACGCTGGCTACACAAACCCGACCTTATATCCCAAGATGAGAAACTTCAAGCGCGCATATACACTCATATTTTGACACACAAGTTGGCTGTTTTGACTGAAAACAATAACCACAGCCAGGTCTCCTTCAGTGCAAGCACGTTTAAATGTGCATCTTTGTTGTGTGGTTCATCCTCCACAGGGGAAATCACCCAGCAGTCCTCTGGTAACCTGGATCCTCAGCACTTGAAGATGCTGCTGTCGTGTCTGAAGACCAGCAGTAATCCATCCGAGCGATGCCGGATGCTGCTGACATTGGGGAATTCTGCTGCCTTCACTGTGAATCAGGTGAGTGAAAGTCCACTTTCTTTTAAACAACACATTGTGTGAGTGAGGTTCATTCTAAAATGCTTCGTGTGAAGTTTTAAGGGGATCTAGTTAGATGCAGCTGATGTGCTTTGTAAGTGGTGCCACACAAAGCTCTGAATGCTTTCTGACATTTTTCTTTCCCTTTTTACTGATTGTCCAGAATCTTATACGGGACTTTGAAGGGATTCATATCATAGCTGGTTTCCTCTCTGATCCCCTGGCAGAGGTTAGAGTGCAGACTCTGAATGTATTGAATAATCTATGTATGAACATCCAAAACCAGGAACAAATAAAGGTATGTTGCCCTATAATGTACAGAAAATATCATGCAATCTGTTGCTGAACATGATCATGTTTTGTTTGAATGTTCATGTCCACACCTTTTTTTTTATAGGTTTATGTCCCACAAGTGCTGGAGCTGATTGAGATGTCATCAGTGAATTCGGACCTTCAGCTTGCTGCTCTCAGGCTGCTGACGAACCTTTCCGTCACAGATAAACACCAACACTTGCTGAAGAAATCCATTACCCTTTTACTCTCTCTGCTTGTTGTGAGCAAAGAAGCATTACAGGTTGGTCTCTTTTTAGGTCACACCTGGTTGATCGTCTTTACGTTGTTGAATACCTTTTTGTAACGTTTAAAAGCTTGTAGCTCTTGGAAAACCGATCAGGCCAGTAGAGTTTTGAATGTAATGTGTGCGAATGAAACACTTTAAATATTTGTCTTTTCAGATTCAGGCTTCGAAAGTCCTTGTTAATTTGTCGTCCAATCCAGATATGATGGATGACATTGTTCAAGCTCAGGTAAGAATAATGAGATTGTGTACGTTAGCATGGATCAGGATTAAGAGCTCATCAAATAAGAAAATGGATTAAATAGATTACGTTTGTTTGTGATCACTAGTAGTGTCATTCAACGCTTCATTATAAATCCCCATTTTGATGAAAGTCCTTCCTCCTTTTTGTCGTAGACACCTGCCTCGGTCGTGCTGCTGTTTGATTCACGGACAGCCACCGCGGTGCTTCTGCGACTGCTGACGTTTGCCGGGAACCTAAAGGCCTGGAGGGCCTCGGCGCAGGTGGCCGATGAACTGCGGCGGACTCAGGATTGCCTCTTCCGGGTCATGTTAGATGAGTCCTCCCAGCTACACAGCCGACTGGTCCAGCTGCTTTCACACCCTGATGTTGAGATTCAGTCCCAGGTGGCCCGCATCTTGACATAGACGTCTCTCTCTGCACTCTCCATCCACACGCAGCTTTTGTCTCGACCGATTTTGCCAAAGCCATTGCCCGTCTAGTTCTATTATATATCTGTTGACTGTAATCTTCTAATATTCAATGCAGCATAGCCGCCTGCGGATGGATACTCAACTTACACACATTCTCTTTGCATCTAAAGTATTCCCCAGATAAGTGTTAATACCACAGATATGTGATCTATTCCACTTTTCCCTTGTATTTTACTTTCTTTCACTACATTTAATCAATGCGCGATGAGTTGAAAAAACCCTTTGCAACCAATGAATTTCCTCCTTATTGCCGGAGACACTGTGGATCTTTCCTTTCAAAGATCCACAGTGCCCTTTCTTCTGAGAAGTGAACCTGCTTTCTCTGAAGTCCTGCTCCAGGTGAAATTTTCTGAATCTAAACCCACTGCCAAACATTTTCTAGAGATAATGTCAGAAAGACCCGTGCAGCACAAACTAACTTTGTACCCTTCTTTACTACAGGGAGACACTTAAATGAAAAGTCCACGAGGTTTCTCGCCATGGAGACACTGTCACATGGCTGGACTACAACTCCTGTCCTCTCATTTATCAGCACGTTGGTTTTAAGGATGATGGTCTTCAAGATGTTATCTTCATTGGTGAATTGAATGTAAGCATCAGTGCATCTTGACTTTGGAAGAGACAGAATTAGGTCATCATACAGGACTGTTGCGCTCATGTTCTTTGACGATATGAGAAGTTTAGTGCGAGGATGCAGCGTTACTGACGTCAGTCCGATACTGACCCAAATAGTTGGATCAGGTATTTGAAACCATTATATTTAATAACAATTAAATTCATATTTATGTATTTGTTGCATTCTCTTTGACCATGTTAAGAAGATATGTTTAAGTGAAGCCTGATTTTCCTTCACATAAAATGATGACCTCCGTCTCTTCCACACTGTAAGGTATACGGCTTATTAATTAAACACAGGTATTGAACTTTGGATCCGCCGATGCCCAGGTGTCGATATTGGTACTGAAGAAGTCATATCGCTGCATCCCTACATAAGTGCATCTATAGGAAGAACTTGGAGTTTAAACACTGTCTCCCTTGCGTTAAGAGCAGCTTGCACAAGTGGTTGGGACACTTGATATAAGCTAAGCAGACTTTGAATAAAACCCCAGGTTTGATCCAGGATGCGCTGGTGGAGTTGCATCTCTCTCAGAAACACCTGTGAATTCCCCCGGGTGGAGCTGGAGGAAGTTGCAGGGGAAAAGGATGTCTGGACTGATTGTTTCGGCCAACACGAATGTCGTGCAGAAATGCAGCTTGAAAATGAGTTGAGGAGGGATCGACCTCTGACAAAGGTCTGCAAAATCTATTACTTAGTTTAAATGAACATTCTTTTGCACCCATTGATTGTTGATTAACAAAAGAGATGAGTGTTAAATACAAGCCTTGTCATCCTATATTATGCAATTTTCTATAATGAGATCAGCTGAAAGTAACACATCCACATATTGTCTGACCGGTGTTGTGGAGCCATCTCCTAGTTTAACATCTAAACGCATGAAAGATGTGACGATTATCTCAGAATATGATTTCTATTGCAAGGATTTTACGACACGAGCCAGACCAGGTCTAAAGAAATGCTGCACGTTTTTAATTTTGGACACTGACTTAAACGCAAATCCTAAATCTGTTTCAGGCAATATGGTTTACGTAAACACAAACAGCAGGAAGCTGGTTTACTTGTGGCCTAAATCGCCATATTTATTTAATGAAAAAATGTTTATTTTGTCTTTCTGAATGTTTCAATAAATGCTCAATGTGAAATATTATTGATTATCATTCGTATTTGTTTACTGAAATAGATTAAACTAGTAGCATTGTGAAAGTTGGACTGCCTTTTGGCCATGCATCTAAAATATCATTCTGTAACCTTTTTCAACATTACTTATGGGTTTCAACATAGTGGCACTATGACTGCAATTAAATATTTTCTTAAAAGAAATCTTTCAAGCCCACAGACTCATGAACATGTGACATTTGGGAAAGATAAGATGATGTGGAGTCAAATTACATCAGTTTGTTTATGGCGACGGATCTAAATTCACAGAGCCGCCACCGTGAAGATCTTTATTGTCTTAAGGTGTGTCTGACAACATTTTAGATGGATCTTCATAATCTGTGAGGAGGAGGAGGCACAACCTATGACCTGCTACTGTTACTACTAGAATTCCAAATTATCAGAATAATGTCTTCATGATCAGGATGTAACAACACACAAGACATTTGGAGCCGATTAAAGTACGGCCGTCTTAGAAAAAGCATATTTCATGGCAAACAGGGTTTCTTTGCTGTACGTTACACATACATAGTGTAATAATTATTTGACCTTTTAATATATTGTACCCTCAGTGCGAAGATCATAGCGCTGAAATATGAAGTAAATTGGATTCAATCTCTAGGAGGAGTCTGTTAAAGTACAACGAATGGCCAACTTGCTGTTGGGTTTAAGGGTTTCCTCCAAGAAAACTTTTTGTATGTTCTTTCACGGTACAAACACAGACAACATTTTATGCAGATTTTATGCATATTTTGGTAACCCCAATATTGGGGTTACCAAAATCTGCATAAAATCTTTTGTTTTTGTTCAGCAACTCCACACTCATTGTAGAACATAAAAGAAAAGTCGTAACCTTGCTGGTATCCCAAGCACCTTGTTTTTGCAAGGATGATGATAATTATAGTCGACATTAGAAGAACAATATGTTCTCTGCTCCAACTGTGTTGGTGGTCGGGCCCTAAATAGAGATGCTATACTTAGTTAGAGGTTATTATATCCACAGAGCTGTAATACAGATTGGACTGATATCGAACGGTCATCATTGCTCTGCTGTGACTTTGGAGGATGCAAAAGAGTCAGTTTTTAGAAAACTGGTCCAAGCAGTTATGTGGGTCAATATTGAATGCAACACAATGCATATTCAGGTGTCCTGTGACTAATACAGCTTTCTTCTTTCAAACTCCACACGTCAAGCTTAGAATTCAAACTTCTTGTAAAAGACAGATTCAGGTCTAAAAACAGATTTTTGATTATTTTCAACTTTATAAATGCCCACCGTCGAGCAGAGCTGTTTGCACAGGCAGTAAGCCGACCTTCATAGAACATGTACGGTTTGAATGAGCTTTCCTTTAAGGTTTTGATAACATAACATATTTTGAAAATCGTTAATACTGTACCTCTACACAGTAGTAATCACGATTTATTGTAGAAATATTAAAGACAAAAATATATGTATTATTTTTGAATCCATAATATTCCTATGACAAATTGTGATTTTTGTGATGTGGGTGTTGAATTTGGGCGACATCCTTTAAGAATAAACCTTTATTAAATAATGATTGTCCCATGATGCGTTTTGGTCTTGTCTCCCCCTTCTCTCTCTCCCACTCTGAAGCGGCGAGGAGACCGTCGCTGCGTCCCGCTGAGCTCCATCACAGTCTCACAGTGGATGCGGGCGCGTCGTCACACGGAAGCACGGCCGAGACGCGGTGTGGGGGTCGGTGGTGGTGGTGCGTATATTGGGGGAAGGAGAAAGGGGGAAGCGGGGGGACCTTTCAGATCAGCCGCATCGGCGATGAACATGCACACCGTGCAGCAGAAGTAGACGGAGCTCTCACGCCACCGACGCGTCGAGGATGAGCGGCACCGCGGCGGCCGCGGGGTCCGCCTCCTGCCGATTCGCCCACTATTTCGTGGAGTGCGGAGTGGACCCGGACACGGGCCTGGAGCCGGACGACGCAGCAGGTAGACGGGTCCAAAGAATCCACTCATTGCATGTAAAGGCACATCCGGGGTCGTCCTTTACACATTTGCTGTTTTATGTCAAATAAAATGCAGTGTGTGTGTGTGTGTGTGTGTGTGTGTGTGTGTGTGTGTGTGTGTGTGTGTGTGTGTGTGTGTGTGTGTGTGTGTGTGTGTGTGTGTGTGTGTGGGGTGGGGCATCTATTGGAATATGTTTTGATTGGACGCCACATTTCTTTCTTCCTTTCTTTCTCCTTGTTGACAACATCATGTATCTGCATAAGGCCTCTGTAGAATAGCTGATATTCAGGCCAATAGCCTTTTTATTCATAATCATAATGAGATAATAACCTTTTCTTGGGAGGATATCGGTATTTATAAACAAATGGTCTAAAACATGTACATGCATGTATATTTTGAGGAGCCTGTAATGCAGATAAATAAAAACACAAAACTCAAGATAATTACCGTTTACCGTGAATCTGAAGAAATCATTTAAAAGGAAAATGATATGGTCTCACCCTCTTGTTGTCTCTGCTTGGGGGAACATATTTATGGTCTTGTTTATGTGTTTTATTCATATTATTTAAAGAAAGCAGTGTAGGTCAAATTTGATTATATCATCGCTGGTTTCTGCAAGTCACCCACTGCTACGCCTGGATGAGGAACAGAAAGGGTTGAGAAGAGTGGAGGACGACAGCATATCATGCCCTTTAACGCTGGAGCACAGATGGAGCAGCCTGTGGTTCACCGGAGGACTATGTGTGAGAACCAGCTCCCAGATATAAATAGGATGAGATGTAAAGATATGAAAGCAGTGATAATCTACGTGATGGCAGATCTGTTCTCTCAAACAGAGATGGGCTTTTTTCAGTTTTTAACACAGTAGGTCCATTTCACACCAAAAGCCAAATGTTGGAGGATATTAATGCTGGCTGGTAGGTGGATGTGGGGGTCGCCACAGCGATGACAGCTGCAGAGAATTTTTGTGATGGAACGCTTCTCAGCTGCTGGTCGTCAGAAATAGAGACGACAAGTGGCTTCGCTTTCTCCCACTGTGATTTGTTGACGCTGAGGACAGATTGACCCAGGAGGCATTTGTGACGTCTGCACGTGTTCTGGTCCGTGTGTGTGTGTGTGTGTGTGTGTGTGTGTGTGTGAGTGTGTGTGTGTGAGTGTGCGCGTGCGCATCTTGGTCTTTGTAAGGAAAAAGAGCTGAGCAGGTGTACCAACACATTGAATGTCACTTCCAGGATTGCGAACAATAGTCACCGTGTGTTGTTCTTTTGTAACAGGAACATACCTCAAATGGAGCCGTAACCCGACGTTCCTTCCTGCTTCAGCCAAATAACTTTTGGAATTAAAAAAAAAATGAATGAATTACTGCTCTAACTAACCATACTTTGATATCTGGTCCCCTGCGGCGAGTGAAAGTGCTGGTGGCTAGTACATCTAAGCTTCACCAATCTGCTTATATAACAGCGGGTCATCTCAGGCCCACTGCAGCAGTGGGCTCCGCTCGCCTTCCAAGGGATTTATTCCTCTGTGTTTGACTTTACATCCGTTTTCTATAAAGCTGTATCTGTATAAAGCAGGAGATGTTTATTCTATCATATGCACCAGCATTTGTTCGTGTGAGGTTTTCCAGTATCTTTTGTTTGTTTTCGTGTCATTGGAGGTTGCCTACCGAGGAACAATCTTCCCTTGTTGGCTTCCCAATAGATGCCACTGTGTTTTCTCCGGCCTTATCGAAACGTCACGTGACGTCGCCTGTCGCCGGATGGCGGAGGCCTCATCCCTCGACTGTCACGGGGGGGTGTATGACATCACTGGAGAGAGAGAACTCCCTGACCGAACATTTGAAAGCTGCATCATAATGTTGAACGGATTGCAAAGATGTATAATGTTTTGTAGTCTTAATATAGGCAAAAATCAGTTTATTTTCAGGCTGTCGATTCTTTTATCCGTCATTCATACGAGCCCAGCACCACGTTTGTGTCTCAGGCTGAGGTGAAGAGAGAAATGAGTCTTTCTTGTTCTATGGCAATGATTAGACCTCCAGTGGACGGACAAATGTAACGCAAAAACAAAGTGATTTTAACAGTTTGAGCCAAAAAGGCAAAATTCTCTGTCAGTGCCAATTGTGATTTGCTGCCATTACATCTCTATATCCAACTTCATCTTCTCATGTGATCATGTGAAAAATGGGACATAGGGGGTCAATCATTTGGTGGACAGGACAGACGTCTACGGCTCTTTAATCATCCCAATTAAGCATGCCTGATTTTGGGGAGCCACGCGTCGACATAAATCTTTGTGATTCATGTCTAAACCGCGAATGCATTCGAGCTAAACATGCTAAACTAGTTTCAGTATCTCAATTGTGAGGATCTGCTGATTTTGTCTGAATTACTTTATATAAATAATTACATCTGTGCCCCTGGCCTCTTAGTCCGACATAACAGGCTATTTTAAGAAAACACCCAAGTGTGCTCTTTACTCCTGTGGCGCAGCTATCTCTCTCTCGAGGGGGCGCTGTGCGTCATCTTGTAAGCAGTGTGTCAAAGCTGAAAAGAGAAGGTAAGTTTTCTAATTGCATCTGTCTTTCTTCTCGTGGCAATGTTGGTTGAAGCCAAAAAAGAGACAAACGTGAGCCAGATGGGGCAACGCATCAAATCTGTGCATCGTGACTTTCCGTGTATACGCTGCACATTCAAACCCTCTCATGCACATGTAGCTGTTATATAAGTATCTCTCCGCCTTCATCTGGAGTCTGAGCACAGAGAAATATCAAAAAGCAGCATATTTTTATCTTCAAGCAAGAGAGTTTCCTTCTGCAGAGTGTCAGCGATGAAGGGTGCTTTCCCCTTTTTGCTGCAAAATGGACCTTGCTGTCAAGAACAGATGAACTTTTGTTGTTGTTTTTCCATAAATACTAGCTGCTGTCCTCTTGTGACGTCCTCTGTTTTGTCCTTCACATTGTGCAATGCCGCCTTGCCTCAGCAGACACAGAGGTCAAAGACCAGTCTG